CGCATGTTGAGGATGACGCTCTTGATGAGGCACCTGAGATGATGTGCCGTCCAACAGAACAGCCAAATCCTGCTAGTGATGAACCCCCTCCTACGCGAGCAAAATCTGGCAAAAAGAAAAAACGCGAAAAATGGTGCAGCATGCCCAACTGTGGGAAACAAAAGGCTGGGAAGCTGAAGGATGATACAGTGCTTTGTTCGGAGCACTACCTCCAACATCGTGCACAGCAACCCCAAAGTTGGACCACACCCCCACCAAGAACCTGCAGACACACGGAGTGTAATTTCCCTGCGGAGCCTCACCAAGATCGCCAGCTCCTTTGCGAACTGCACAGATTTGACTATACTGTGGACAAGGCAAAAAAGGAGCAGGCCCGGACTGAAATGGAAGCAAATGCATTTGTTATTCGTGTCAGAAAGAAAATGGAGAAACCAGAGGAGCGGGAAGCACAATGTGAAAGACTCAGGTCCATGAAGGCTTTGCAGGATGGATCATACATTCCGACAAACTTACCAGCAAAGCTTCGGAAACTCCCAAATCATCGATTTAGCAACATCCAGTTCCATAATGAGCAGGTGTTGCAATTGATGATGAAAGGCAATGACGCTCAGTTGGACGAGAACTTCAAGACTGACAAAAGTCAGATCGATGTCTTGGGAAATGAGGAAATGGGTCTCCTGGTCGATCAAAGCATCCCTTATGACAAGGACAGCTTTGTTGCTAACATTGCTGAGGATAGTCGCAAACGCTACTTGGAACACAGGGATCCAAAGCTTCGAGAAGAGTTGCTGGAAATTGCCTTGGCTGCCCATATCAATTTGTCCGTCCCCGGTGATGATGATAAGGCTCCTGCTCTTTTTAATGCAGCAGAGTACCACCGCGGCAATTCTTCTGCCAAAATCCAGTACTTTCCACATCACAAGGACAAGAACTGTTTCACTATGGTGTCGATCTATGTGGTGGAAGGAGAGAGTTTTAACTTTGTGATTGTGCCAGGTGGACCAGATGAGGGTCCTGACTTTGATACTGAACATGGAGACTATGGGGAATACGATGATTGGAAGGGAACTCTTGGCGTCGAGGACCTTAAGAATGTGGAGCTGTATGAGAATGCCTTGAAGGACAAACGCAATCAATTTTATACGAAGGGGCATCACTCCATTGTTGTCTACAAGTTGACACCCGGCCAGCGTCTCATCTTCAAGGCTCAGTGGCTCACTCATGGGGTTATTGTTCCAGGAAACCAGCAACGCTCCGTGATCATTTTCCATGACCTGCTTCCAAAATGGTCGACTTTCCGTGCTGTCAAGAAGCTCAAGTCCAGCAGGGCTGCCAAGAAGGGTCGGGATGAGCCAACGAAGGGAACGGCCAGCACTTCGCGGGCTTCTGCCCGTGCTAGAAGTAAGAGGGGAGCTGCCAAGAAGAAGGAAGCGATGACCACCTCTTCTGCAACTTCCTCTGGGAACAAGGCCAAGCGCAGTAGAAAGCGCAAGTATTAAACTGCACAAGTTGTAGGTTTGGTAGACAGTCATGAGGGTAAATATTTATTTCTATAGTAATTGTTTTGCAACAAGTCGAATAGGAATAAACGTAGCTTGAAGTACTCGTTCTCATCACCGCTGTCTTCATCACACTTGTTGTTGTTGTTCTTCCTCCTCACTCCACAAGCACGTCTTCGTTCCAGGACAGTACTTTCGACCTTCATTCGTATTGAGTGCGATATCTCTGGGCCTCATCTGCTCCCACCTGTTCCCTCATCGCATGACTACCCCAGGGACTCCTACTCGTCAACAATAATTGAATTCAAGACGCAAATTGCACAGTACTGGTGAGAGTTGTTGTGACGGCGAAGAAGGGGGAAATGGCATGATGAGCTCAAGAGACTTCTTCGATCAAAAAGTTGCTGATCAAAAGGTGTGCAAGTGAGACAACACGTACAGTACCCCGTTTTATCAACCTACTGGTACAGTCAAAATGTTGAAGCCCAACTCGAAGAAATAATTGGTCGAGCCCATGAGAAGGCTTGAGAGACTGTTGCGGCAGAATCTTCCGCGGCAGACGAGCACATGTAATCGCACAAGCTAGGACCTTCCTTGGAGACTGTCTCTGGCTCCACCTGTCCCGAAAGAAACTCGAAAGTAAAAGACGACAACATGTACCGGGACCGCAAATCAGAGGACAGAAACTCGACACTGACAAACACATTCGATGAACCATCTGTAGCACAAACGAAAGAATGCAACGGCGTCCCTTATCGGTTCGTGCGGCATCTTCATTATCGATTCGTTCTTCCTGTGCCTTTCTCCCCACAATACTCCAACCGCCTAGAACCCTAAGGTCCGATCGCTACGGCCCATTTTACAGAACTCTTTTCAGCTTCCTCCTCGGAACGACAAGGTCCATCGCATTCTCTGCTACTGGTACCGGTATGCCTGGCGAATCGCTCACGGCGGGAACTTCCTCGCCCATGTGGGAATTGTATGATACCGGCACCCTACCGGTCTGCTCCGCACACGGAACGGGCCCCGTCAAAAAAATGCGTCGAAACAGATCGCGGCATGCCGAATAACCGGGCATTGAATGAATCGATTCGATTCAATCGAATCGGCATGGATCCAACGTGCGCACTACGGTACCGGTACTAATAGTGCTGCATTATGGCTGCATGGTTCAGTAGAAGAGTACTGTACTATTAAATCAGAAGTTCCCAGCAATCATGGAAGGCTTATGTACACACACGTATGAAGCCATGTACTAGCTGGTACAGCGAACTACTAGTACACTAGTACGGTAGAAGCAATAAGAAGACAACCGAGCTCGATCGCTGCCAACCCATTCATAGGAATTTAAGTCGAGAGCTGTTGGTATCGGATCTCATGTCTCATTGCTACTAGCTTATGGGTAGCTAGCTAGCTAGTATAGAGGCAGGTAGTTCGCCATGAGCAATCTTGCCCTATGGCATCAGCAGCAGCGTCTAACGCAGTTCAGGTATCAGCAACATCAGGCTCCGTCACGAGCTTTGACCTTCAGTGATACCAGAGAACAGGGTACTCCCTACTATGTTCCGGCCCCATCATACAGCAGTCATCCTCCTGTGCCTTTGGTAGAAAGGACTCCTTACCAGCAGTCCTTTCCTTCTGGTGAACTCAGTGGATTCGATTCTCATTGGCGGTGGCAGCAGCAGCAGCAGCAAGACGTTGGTGTTCCTCCCTTCTATCATCATCAGTTCGGCCAAGAGCAGCAGCAGCTGACCTCCCATCATTTCCTTCCACTACGTGAGCACGAACACCAACCTCCTTATCACTATTCTGCTAGTACTGGAGTCGCCCAGCCACACTGGCAGCAGGATTTGGGGGGACAAACTCAGTTGAGGGAGCAAAATCTGCATGCCCTTGTTGTTCAGCAACAACAGAGAAACCACGAACTCCAGCTGGAACTGTTGGCACGGGAACAGGAACAACGCCATCGGGCACAGCAACAGGAACTCATTCGTCAGCAGCAACAAGAAAGCCTTCGCCTGGTACTGGAAAAACAGCAACAAGAAAGCCTTCGTCTGGCTCTGAAAAAACAGCGGCAATTGGGAAAACAGCGGCAATTGGAACTACAGCAGAAATTGGATCTGGAGCAGAAATTGGAACTACAGCAGCAATGGGAACTCCAACAGCACTTACTGGTGCGACAGCATCCTGTTGTTCTGAATGAGCCACCTAAAGTTATGGTCTGTCGTCCAACATTCCCTGCTGATGACAGAATTGATGAATCGAGACTTCGAATCGCCCTTCCAATCCAGTCGTCAGATGAAGGACCGCACCCTGACGGGCAGCGTCAGCAGATGCAACAAATTTCATCAAAGCACCAACAACAACCTACATCAGAGCAGCCACCAACTCTAGCACACGTTTCTCATCAGCAGCACCAGCAGCAGGAACAACAAACTGCGTTAGAACAGCCACCAACTCAACAACACGTGTATCAGCAGCAGGAACAACTACGACTACTACAAACTACATCAGAGCAGCAAACAACGCAACAGCACGTTCCTCAGCAGCAGCAGCAACAACAACAAACTACAGCAGAACAGCAAACAGCTCCGACGGTTGAGGAACGGCCTCCAACTCCGATCGTGGATGCACAGCCACCCAGTGCCGTGGACGATGAACAGCCTCCACGCTGCAGAAATCGGGTGAAACCTGCCGTGAAAAACATCAATCAGCACCCACATAATATCAACGAGGAAACGAAAGAGACCAAGAAAAGTATGGAAGAAAAGCACGTTCTTCGCGTTACAGAACCAATGAAGACGCCGAAGGAGCGCTACGACCAATGTCAGAAACTCGGCGCCTTGCAGAATGAGAAGTATGGGTCTGCCAGAAGATCGAATGCACGCAGAACCAGAGCCACGGAGGGAAACATCACTGCCTATATTCCAGACAATGACCCCTTGCTGGACCATCCAAATCACCACTTTGCCAAAATCCAGTACCACGATGACACTGTTCTGCAGGCAATGATGGAGGGCAGAGAAACCAAGAAGATCCAACACGTGAAAAGGCCCGGCAAAAGCAAGATTGACGTTTTGGGTGAACGAGACAACGGGATCCTCGTTGAACTGAGCATTCCGTACGAGAACGACAGCTTCATTCGGGACATTGCCGATTCCAGTCGCAAACTTGTCCTGGAGCACAAAGATCCAGAGTTGCAAGAGCGGTTGAAAGAGCTCGCCTTGCTTTCCAGCAAGACGTACACAGTGAAAGGTGGCGATAGTGCACCAGCACTGTTTCGTGCAGCTGAGGTCCACTACAACCAAGAGAGAAAGGAGGGGATACAGTTCATGAAGATTCACACCGACAAGGTTGGCAGCATGGTGACAATCTACGTGCTTGAAGGAGTCAGTTGGAATTTCGTGGTTGTGCCAATGGATGGGGAAGGAGAGGCACCCAGCTTTGACTCGACCTCTGGGGACTATGACGATTACGTGGCCTGGAAGAACGAACTCAAAAATTCGAACGAGGCCGAGTTCGAGCTGGTGGAACAATACGAGGAGGTACTCAAGAAGAACGGCAAGGGCTCTGTTGTCGTCTACAAGTTAATCCCTGGTCAGCGCCTCATCTTTGACGCCATGGGACTCACCCACGGCGTTATTGTCCCGGGAGGGCAAAAGCGCTCAGTGGTTGTTTTCCATGACTTGCTTCCCCAATGGGACGGTTTTGCTGAGGTCCGGAAGAGTCCCAACGTCACTGCTCCTGCTGGTACGACAGAGGACACGGACTATGGCAGCAGGAAGAGGGGAAATGCGGCTGGGCCCCAGCTTCGGCGCAGTAAACGGCGCATGGCATCGGTGTAGACAACAGGGTTACTTTCGTAATTACATAAATATAATCTTAATGTGAAATCGTTAATTTACGTCTACCGTTGCTTTCTCCGTGCTTCCAAAAACATGATATTATTGGAGCCTTATTCTGCCAACCTAGAGGCGTCTTTACGAACGGCGCCTCTTTGCACGGCGGGTTCCGCCACGTGAGTTGTTGGTTTGGTCGGTGCGCTCAAAAATGTAGAGGTAGGGATGGTTGCCGTGGCTAGAAACCCAACCCATCAATGGTATTTTACTGTGAGAGCGCCAATTTTCGCCCGGAAAAACCTTCGGAAACTCCACGGAAGATGAGGCAGCACCCATTTTGGCAGGATCGTAGAAAACACCCAGCCGCTCGCCACCTGCGTCATGAAAGCCATCCACGCAGCGTTTCAAGTCTTCGATATTCGTGTTCGCGAAAGAAATCAGCAGTAGCTCGGGACTTTGACGAGACAAAGTCCCCTTCGCAGCCACATTGTTCTTCCACTGAGAGAAGAGATTCTGGTAGTTCTTTGGGCGGGGTTCATACTTCACAACCCCAAGGCTCTTCAGAATTTTCTGTTCACCATCTTCAAAAGTTGCCCATTTGGCTACGCAGTCAAGAGAGTCGTCCATTGCTACATCATGCTCAACATTGTATCCCTTCCACTTCCGATACATTTTGAGTAGGGCGAAGAAAACCCCCTTGCCAGCGCCGAATTGGATGATCGCTTTGGACTTGAGGTTGGTCAAAGCAGAAATCAAATCCAGTGTTGGGCGTACACGGGAGCAACTTAGTTTGACGCTCTCGCTGCAATCGCGGGACGCAAGTGAGATTTCGTCAAAGAAACAGAGCCATCGGATCAGGAATTCCTTCTGGTATTTCTTCTCAAGATTGTCGAAGGGCTTGTAGACATGTTGAAGGAAAGTTGCGGCGTTGAAAATGCCATTGTTGTAAATGGGGTACACGGGAGCATCGTGCGAGAATATGTCGGGCTCAATGGTACTTTTCACACTGGAACCAGTGCAAACGTTTGGCTCTTCAACCATGAAACAGACCTTCTCGTGTTCAGCTGTAGATCCAGGAGCTCGCCTCACTGGGTATATTTGCTTGCCGTAATTCCGTTCCCAGAGTGTCCCTTCGAGCACCGCCGCCGCTAACACCACATTGATGCGCTCAATTGTAATAATTGGAATTTCGCTTGAGCTTTGCTGTAGATTGCGCTCAATTCTGGATGAACTGCGACGGTCGCCACCGACCAGATTGCCTTGCACCAGATTATTGCCGTCCCCCTTATTGGTGTATTTGTACAAATAGATGTTTTGAACAGAGGTAAGCCAGTCCAGGTCAAGGGACCCAGCCCGCGTTTGAAATTTTTCTTCCTTCCAGAGATTGTTGCTCGTGAACATTGTGTCCAATGACACTACAATGGTCCCTTCTTTGCAGAAATCACACAATTTTTGCTCCAGGCCATTTTGCAGGCCATCGTGCGTCATCTTCCCATTGAAGTTGGAAAAGAATATTCTGAGGTTTTCCTTTTTCCAAAGGTCGTCCATGGAGGGATCCAAAAAAGTATTGTTGAAGAACTCGGGTTGCGCATCGTCCTCATCGTCTGCATCGTCCTCATCGTCCTTCCATTGGATCCTTTCAGACCAGTCCATTGCTTCCTTGTGCCGCCCTTTGTCTAGCTCGATACTGACAGCCTTTGTATTGGGACTCAACAGCTTGCAGAGGATTGCCGTGTTGCCTCGTCCACCACCTGGATCTACATATGTACACTCGCCAGGTGCTCCCCCAATAATATTCAGCAACTTTGGAGAAAAGAGTATTGTGTGCGCCAAGTCGAAACCGGTCTCTCCACCATGAGACGCGACATTCCCATTTTCCGCGACTTTGCTCTCATCTCCTGGTTCTGGGGCCGTCTGATGATATGTGTTGGATGCCTTTATCTTGCTTTCCATTATGGCTCATGCATGCATGAGAATCAAATCGGGGTTCTCCTTTCAACCAACTGGAATGATACAATTGATAAAGAGCGACAACAGCAGCAATGAGGCTTTCTTCTTTTGTGCCAATGATCGAACAGATCGTCTTCGTCGGAAGCTTCGCCTTTGATCAATTATAATACTATTTGCTGACACTTCATGTTCGATTCTCGAACGATATTACACGTAATCGAATCGAAGCCCCAGCCCAATGAGGACCTGTTCACTTGGCCCTTGCAATGGATCCCTTTGTTGTGAGAGTGAGAACCATCATCTGCGATGCTGCTGCGTTGGCGGTTGGGGGAGTTCTCGTCTGGCCATATACCGGTACAGCCAGTTCGTTCGATTTGACGAACGGGGCTGCGGCACAGATCATTTGCCACAGCAGAAGTCACTCGGTGACTCCAGAGATGAACTCCATCGAGAGGAAAACTACTGGTGATGTTGGAGGAACCATCACAACATGGTGGTCATCAACGAGTGGAGTGGTTGAGCGTTTGTTGGAATGATGTACCGTACCATACTATAGCATACAAAGTTTCAATTATTCGTGCCTACTAAGATTAAAAGTATTCGCTATCCCGACGGGGGTTGGCGTGCACTGCTCTTCCCATCTTTTGTCACCCTCAGCCTGGCTCTTCGCTCGCTCCAAGGCAAAGCCACCTGTCTGCCAAGATTGCGTAATGTTGTATCATGCAATTTCCCCATGTCTGACATGACGAAATTCCGCAATTGGAATTCGTCTCGCCAGGATGATTATTGTCCCCATTCGCTCTTCATCAAAGCTCAGCAAGCTTTGTGCTCCTGAATGGCAGCGTCCTCTGCCTCTGCATCGCTTTCTGCACCATCGCTCTTGGCGTCGACACTTTCTGCGCCATCACCCGTGGCATCGTCGATTTCTGCGCCATCGCTCTCGGCGCCATCGCTTTCCGCGCCATCGCTTTCTGCACCATCCTCCGCTTCTGATACGCCATCAACATGGCTCCCTTCCTCACTCTCCGAATCACCTTCTGCGCCACTTTCTTCGTCAGATTCCTCTTCTAAATTCTTGAGGTGGGCCTGGTACAGGACTGCGCTCAATGCAGCGGTCAAGATTGCGGCGGCTCGTGGAGTAAGTAGCTGTGTGCACAACCTTTCCATCATCCAACGATGAACCAATGGGAGCACTTCCGCAACATCCAGACGAAACTCGGGAGGAGGAAGAGGGAAAACTTTGTCAAATTCCTCTGCTCCTGTGCATTCCATGGTCATGTCCAGAACGTCTGGATTGTACTCTTGGCCGAGGGCTGCATCAATTTGGGCCTTGTCGTTTGGGGTAAGCTGATCCATCAAGGCTCTTGTCGACTTTTCGCACAAAAGCTCCAGATAGTCACAGTGGGCTTCCCTGTCATCGTCGCAAGGGCGACTACTAAATGGTCTCAGATCATTCATAAAATACCGGTACACTCCAGCTTTTGCAGCAGCGCGAATGAGGCGATCTGGATCCTCCCCTTCATCTTTCTTCTCATTGGAACACTCTTTCTGAGTTTGCTGTTCCCCCCCTTCCTTGCATTTCCCTTCGATTTCTTTCCCCTCTTCCTTATGATCATCGTCGCTGTCTTTGTCACGGGGTCGCAAATAGATATCATCCTTCTTTTTAATGTGGTCTGGAATCTTTTCATAGTCCGGAAATCCCGGGACCAATCTATGCAGTGTGTTGTCACCAATATGCTTTGGATGCATAAGCGTGTCCAAGCTTTGAAAAATGTGGGCTTCATCGAGAATTGGGAGAATGTACCCTCTGTGCGGCTCGTACATGAGACAGCTGGCAATCCTACCAGCTTCTGCAAGAAAGTATTGTGCGGGATATGTAAGTTTTCCATAAATATCAAGGGTCATACCTGCAGGCCTGCCTGGGTAGCCAAGACGCTCCACGTTGTAGGCGTTGGGCAGTTTGATGTTGTTAGGGTTTCCTGAGAAGAAAAACTCGGAATATTTCTCGAGGGTTTTCTTGGCCAAGTCTGGATCGTCCTGATCTACCTTTTGCTTCTTTGGAGCTGGATCCATGGTGCACGCGATTCGATTCGAAATTCAATTCAATTCAGAAGAAAACAGAGCTATTGTATAGTATGCGACGAAGACAAGTTCAACCCCTGGACCCAATGAGGACCTGTTCACTTGGCCCTTGCAATGGATCCCTTTGTTGCATGTGAGATGTGAGAGTGAGAACGATGTGCAATGCGGCTGTTGGGGGTCCACGGGGGATCGAGTTCTCGTCTGGCCGTGACCATGGGCGAAATTTGGAAAAGGTTCCAACCCAAAAGATATTAGCCAGCCAAACCGTCAAATGTTGTTTGAAACCGTCCTCTTTCATTGATCTTGGTTTTGGTCAAGAGGTGGCAATCGTCACAGGCAGTACCAGGTACCAGGTACTATCCTCTAGCTTTTGCCGTGCCAGAATGATTGATATGGCGCTAGCTAGAGCGGCTGCATTGGATCCTTTGACGATGCTGGTCCCATTCCTAGAGAGGCTACTAAGGGAACTCTCCCCCCGTCACCGTTCAAAAGGCTTCTTGCATCCCGAGTCGAGTCAGGGCCAGGACCCGCATGGTTTGATCACAGACGTGTTGTGTTGTCTCTATGTTCTGGATCGACACTACTACGGTAGTACCGTATTGTGTCCAGAAAGGATCGAATGGACTGAAGGTTTTGGCTACGGTTGGGGATGATTGAATTTTTCAGCGTCAAGCATGGACTCGCATGGTGAAAAACAAATTCTTTCTCGGTGGTTAATTTCTCGAGCAACAATAGCAAGTTCATCCATCGCGCTCCTGTTCTCATTGCAGAGGAAAACCGTCTGCCGTACCTTTGTGCTGGGAGCACCCTTGGTCACCACAAGTGGAGAGGGAGGATGAAAGATGCGTCACAATACTGCATCAATGGCCAGTGCTCATCTACATCGAATCGAATCATTCAATCTCTGGTTCCACCTCCCAACAACAGAATGAATCCATCTTCGCAAAAAGCCGGTACTATATTGGTCAGTCTCCAACAAACAAACAATTTGCCCTCATTCTTGTTACAGTACTATCACACCAATGGAAACGATGGCTCGTACTCGCCAGAATTATGTAATTGAACAATCATCCACGGTCCTTTATGACACTACTCCAACGTGATCACGCATCCAACGGTGCCAGCTTTGAATCAAAGGGAACTTTTGTTCAACGCCATGGGAAAATGCATGTTTGGGCCAGTTCACCACAAAATGGGAAACGATGGATCTTCTACACTTGGTATCCATCACATCAAGTAATTGTCACCAGTGCATGCCACCTCTCTCGGGGCATTATGGAATCAGAGTAATAAGGTTCCATCAACCTCGTCTCTTGATCTATCTGAGCACGTCCGCCGAGAAAGCCACATGCCGTTGGTGCAGCAACAGCCAAGGGCGTCAAGGAATGGGGTGTCAGTCAGTCAGACACTGCGGCACACAACACTCTGATCAACAACCGAACCCGACATGACACGCCATGACAATGTGCTGGACTCCCCAGCAGGAAGCAAAAACTAAGGCATGGCAGATATATAGTTGTGATTGCCAGGCAGCACTCTTGCAGAAGAAGACACAACTCGTTGCGAGCGGTGGCGGGGAAACAGATCATCAACAGATCATCTATTGTTGCATTTACAGGAATTGGCTTTAGGACAAGGCTCCATGGTATTTGGTTTCGTTTTTTTTTTTTGGAATGATCTGCTGGTAAATTGCCACCTCTTCTCCAGGTTGAGCTCTTCCAGGCAAACAATACTAGCTTGCAAAATGGCTAGAATTGCCCAATATCTGCACACTCCAGTCGGTGGGCTCTTCTGCAAATAAATCTCTTCCTTCCAATTAATGGGTCCTCTGTCTCTTGTTTGGTTGTGGCTGCCCAAAAGTGTCAACCCGGAAACATCACTCAAGGATCTAAGAGGGCCCCACTCAACAGGGCGAGCATCAACTACAGACGTTTTGAGTTCCCAGTCTCCCTGACAGTTTGGGTGTTTTACAAAGGCGTCAACGTTTGTCTGGGCAGCAATTCGTCCGTGAAGATGAGGATGACAATCAGATCAATGGAGGAATCAGCAGACAGCAACTCCATGCTGGAAATGTTGGACCCTGTTGAAATCTGGACCGGAAACAGGACGAGGTTGCCTTGATTTTTGGCTTTGACGATATGGAAAGGAGATACACGGTAGAGGCAAGTCCCATGCAGGGCGCCCGTTTTCCTACAGCGAAGGCATGTCAAGCGAGTCGAGTCGAGTCCGTTGTATTATTCGACGAGGGTTTGAGAAAGGACGTTGGCAGCGGTAGAACCCCCATGGTTGAGGCACCTGATTGGGCCACTTTGCTGAGCTTGGAAGGATTGATCCTGCAGAACCTTTCATATGCTCAATTCCCCAGTCTGGAATATTTTTGTGTTGATGCCATCCCAATACAGTACCTACCTTCGAAGCTGCAATGTATCAGCCATCTCCACGCAAGGAATAATATACACTCTCCTTGAAAAAGCGAGACCTGCAGACGGGCGCTTCCAAACAATGTGGATCTGGATCGGGGTTTCATGCGGACGTCATGAAGGTGTTTCGACGGTGACAGAAGCAATCCAAGTGCTACCGGAGGACTCCTTTGGCAAAACAAACATGCGTCGTTTGGACGCGCCGCAAGCTCTTTCTAGAGTACCCAGAGCAGCTTCATGACGTTTTGGAAGTCATCTCTTGGTTACAAGAGTCAACTCGAGTTGGTCGTCAGAGTGAAGCAGAAATTTCCACAGTCAAGCATGCATTTCCAGTTGCTTCCAGCCTGCACATTTATTTACCCTCGTAACTTCTTTCGTAAAGTTGCTGGGTGCGCCTGATAAACCCAATGCGAAGTTACCAAGCTGGAGATCTGGAAGAAGTGAGGCTTCAGGCTATGCATCGTCACGGGATGGCAAACCATCGATTTCTTGGTGGGTGCGCTTTCTTCCTTATACGATCCAACCAAGAACTCAGATTCAAAACAAAAGCTTGCTCTCGGACGACAGTGTCTTTGCCGTACTCTCCCGTGCAAAACAGAATTCCCAGATTTGAGTTCATCACTCTCATTTTCAAGGTGGACTCGGAAAAGGATCAAAAAAGGAGATTTTGAACTTGAATGGGTGCTACATGTGACTGAAGAAGGCAACATCAATGTCATTGGAATGCGCACGTTGAGGGCCAAGTTGATTCAGCACGAATGGCCTTTCAGGGAACCAAAAGTATGCTTTGACAAACCATGTGAATACACCGATTCCTGTGGCATTCCATTAACTGCCAACCGATATCCTACGGAACTGCGGAACAGATTTCAACTCTCCTGGTCGATCACCACAAACATGGACGCCGGTGCGGATGGAAACGCTGGATTGCAGCAGCATTCTACGCGCTGTTTTTGGTTTCAACTTTGGCCACCGAATGAATATTCCCTGTGGGGTCGAGCACTGGAGAATGTTGGAAATTTGATTCGCTGCCAAGCTGCGGCGTACTGTGATGGGAACTCCAAACGTGCTCACGCTGCTTGTTTGTAGTGGGCCCGCACTCAAGCGAGTTCATGATGTCCAAATTGCTGAGAAGCAGTGACCGAGGACAACATGGCTTGCAACAGTCGTACCGATACGATGGAACAGCGATGCGCTAATCACTAGTGCTGTTGCTTCAGGCAACACACGACAGGACATGGCGTCAAACGAATGTTTTCGTGCCACAAGCTTCTCAGCCGTTGTCGTATGGCGCATCCTTTCAAAACGAGATTGGCTGGGCCCGGGCTGGGCCCGGGCTGGGACAGTGTTGAACGCAATCACTTGCCGGCTCCTGTGAAGCACGGAATCCATTTCGGTGGTCCCAACGGAGGAAGGGCGAACTTTACATGTTTCACTCGGTCGTTGTTGTCTCTGTCAGTATCCGGGCATTCTAGTGCTGTTGTGATACGACGGTAGTGGAGTCTTTGGCACCAAGGCTTCATTGGAGGGTCCAACATGCACCGGGCATTACACAGTGTAGGCGGCCGTCAGATGTGCACTCGAATCGGATTATGGATTCACGAAAACTTCCGCTGCCATGGTTCACTCGGGCGACTCTGCTTGCCAACCAATCACTCATTTGATTCTGAAATTCATTTCTGACACACAATACCGCCTGCTGCATTCCTTGATTGAGGATCCGGGATGGGAGACGTTTTGTCATGTATTTATGCGAATATCGGAGCGAAGCACACCGGAAGGAGATTCTCCAGTTGCATTGGAGGAGGCCCCATTGGGAAATGAACATCCAGCTATCAACAGTTTTCGCTGCCGCTGCCGCCGCCAGCAGCCTCAAGCTTTACGGCGCTTCAGAAGAAGCCAAAAGCCTTGCCGAAAATACGTTGGATCGAAGACTGGCAATCTCTGGATTGCCTTTAACAGGCCTTTTCTTTGCGTGGCTTAGAATTCCACCACCCCATGCAACGGTCTGCTCCCTGTCTACGTTTCTCCGCCTTTGCCTCCATGAGGGCACTACTTCTGGTGCTTCTCCACCCCTTGCGTTGGCATTCTCTTGAAGAGTACGCAACACAGGCACTTGTTCCAGGAATCCGACAGTTGTCACACGAGGAGGGGGTTCTCAGGCTTGGGAGGGTGGCTGGTAACCTTGGCTCCTGCAGGACCAAGACTAGACTCATTCGTTCCTGTGTCCTTACGTCCAGCTGCATGGACCCAGTTGAATACGAGTAAATCGTTTCGGCTAGCCACATTTGAAAAGCTGTTCCCGAAAGTGGCAGGCATCAGGCACTTGCGCACATCGGCGCTTCCACTCCTCTGCACCTGGCCTGCCAACAAATTGCGGCTTGAGGCCAATTGTCGGCAGCAAGATTCAATCGGATCAAGAAGAGCACTTCTATACCATCGGTTGAGTGAAGCGGCGATGGCGTAGCGTCAATGCGATCGAGGCCGGGTCGGAGGTAGCCAATGCAGGTTTGCAGGAGAGTGCGAACAAGATCGGCCGACCCTTCAAGGTTCCGTGGGATAGTCCGTGCAGTTTGTCTGTCCCCGCTTCTCGTCATTGTGACAAATGCCGAATCCAGAATCAAACCACTGCAGTAATCCACCCAAACTTTTTCCAGCTCGGTGGTACAACAGAAGGGCTTTCTCGGAACCGCTGCGTTCTGGACCACTGCAACTACAAATGGATGGGCTTCGTGGCGACGCTGCTAGCCAGTAGCAGGACTGCTGCTTCTAAACCGGTACGGGTACGACACGGCAACTCGATGCTCGCACGACAGTGGCGGCACCATCGCCTCAGATAATCATCTGCAGCGAGGGTCGTACGATTCCGGTTCGATTCAATCGCTGCTTTTCCCCTCACTTGCAGATCCCTTTGGATCATGATGCGATGATATCCTCGCATTGTCCCTGGCTCTCCTGCTACGGGTGTTGGCTTGAGTGCAGGTGGACGTTCAAGCCTTCGCTACGACGTTCGGGAGGACAAAAAGACGAGTTGGGTAGCCTGAAGTAAGACGTGAGCATCGCAAAGTGTATCTACAACCTTTCTTGATCTCCCCTCCATGCGGAGGCAGAACTCCCCTCCATTCGGAGGCAGAACTCCCCTCCATTCGGAGGCAGAATTTCGCATGGGCGTAAGTCTTGAGCCGGCGACGAAATGTCACAAACGAATTTCCATCCCACCTCCAAATCGAAACGTACTTCTCGCCCTCTGGCTTCGCAGCAGTCTGTGTTTCTTGCAAGAAATCCAGGCTCAACCGACAACAGATTTGGCGCCTAGTCAAAGGAAGGCCTTATTAGACTTGGCATGGTGCACAAATGACCATGTCGACGCAAACGCAAAGCAACGACATGATCGTCTGGGAGTCTGGATAGAGGTCCCCCCCCCCTTTGGTCGTGGATCAGGCTGCAACGATTTCTGGAGTGTTGAGAAGAGAGAGAGAGAGAGCGCGTGTTGGGTGGGGAACTCTACAAGGTATGTTGCATTTGGAACAAGACGATTGTACTGAGTGCTGATTGTGGAGGCAACTGAACATGCTAGACAACATGAATATTCGTATCACAGTGCGGACGAAACCCTTTTGATCAGTTGAGTTGCCTGGTAATGGCGTTGCTCCTGATTCTCAGAAGAGGCGCAGAGCGTCCAGTGCCGTCTAGCTGTGATGTACAGATGTAGCACGAACACCCTTTCTAACTATTGGTACAATGGTCTTATAGATTATCTACTACTGTAGTATCACCCCAGCGCCCCAACCCCAGTTCCTCGACTACGACTTGTGCGTTTTGTCATCTTCGTCATGAAACGTTTCTGTCATCTCCATTTCAGGAGATGCTGCGGTATGAATGCTCCGTGTCCGGTTGATACGCGAAGAACAGTAGCTGAACCGACTTGTTCCTGCGCTCGGAAGTTTCGATGGCGGCAACAACGACTTGCGCGATTGTGGTTTCGACGAAGCGACCGAGGATATCCCATCATCCTCGGTTGACTCCATACATGGTTTCATCGCGGATTCTTCTCCATCATCATGATTGCTGTGATCCTCTTCCGAATGAATTAGCAGAGTAACATGTTGTCCTCCCCATGAGTCACGGTTTTCCTTCAGCACATCCACTGGCTTCTCAAACGGCGCCTTTTCCTGGTCATTGTTGTGATAATCGTCCTCCGTACCGGTGCTCTCTTCGCTGTCTTTGGCAGTGCTCCGAACCCACTCGCTGATGTTGATGCCACCCCATGACACCTTGTTGTCCCCCAACACGTCTTTCTTGTCTTTCTTTTCCTTTGCTTTGGGTTTGGACATTGCTGATTTCATGGAGCTTCCACTGTTGTGGCCACTATTGTGGAACCCGACTGAGTGCCCGGTCGCACTTGTGTGCCCTGTTGCACTATAAACTGTGCTTGCTGTCAAGGGCTCAATTATTGCTTCTGGGTCGATGACAGAGTCTTCCAACTCATCTGTTTCACCCACTTTCTCTGGTTTGGACAACTGTTTTGGTGGTGGAACAATAAGGGCACTGCTGCTGCCACCACTGCCATTATTCTGCTGCACTAGCACAGAGTTGCCCACGGAAACAACCGAACGACCAAAAGCCACGCCGCCCCTGGGTGTATGTGTCAGTGCGTAGAACTTGTCATCGTCTTTCAAGAGCTTTGGAACGAAGTATACACACATGGTGACAATGGCGTCTGAGCTGTAAATGAGCGAGCGAAGGCCGGCCATGTAGGATTCTGATATAGTCCCTTCCAACAGGAAGCTGATGACACGAAGCATGACAAAGACGAAATGACTGTAAATCATCTGTAAGCAACAATACATAAAGAAAGGAGGTGCCAAAAAGCGGTGAGCATCATTTGTTGGTGCAGTAGCGGCCAGCCACATAAGGGCTCGACTCTCCCTGCCCTTGCTCGGTTACTTACCATCGCCAGAACGGTGGATTCCGAGAACCCAGCCTGTAGATTTCTGGTTTGAAATGCCAGCACTGTCGCACAGATCAGCAAGATGCAGTGCCACAAGACAGCCAAGTACCTCCAAGCATCAGAGTTGGACTTGCAGTAGTAGCCAACTATGACAATGTGTTCTCCGTCTTCAGTTGTCTCGTCAGTTAAGGTGTATTCTCCCTGCCTTTCAGGCGTATCTATGGCACTCCACAATACTAGAAAGACGACCATGATACTGGTGAACATGGCTACCGTTCCAAAGAGTTGTTGTTGTGTGAGAACTACGCGCTTGAACTTCTTGGCTGCACTCATCAACCTGTTGATTGCGGCCACCTGTGATCATGAATATAGGAATACAACAGATGAGCCACAAAGATCAACTGGCCAGAATACACAACTTTCCAGAAGAACCAGAATGAAACTCACCTTTACGATCAAGGGAACCTGAAGATTCATTGTTTGGCAAAAGCGCAGTAGAAGACCATGCGTGAGTGAGTGCATGTCCTTGGTTGGTTGCATGCATCCATCGATTTGATTGGAGCTAGCAGACGGAGGTGGCTTGCCAGCACAACTTTAACGTACCAACTCGAGTGTGTACCCCAACCCAACCAACCATGAAATGGCAACACAGGACCCATTGCTGGGTGGGATGGCCAACAGAATGGATCCCACCGACACAAAGAGCAACCCCAACAAGAGGAGGAACAGAAACTCCACTTGACTGAATCTCATTACGTATCCATTCCGCCTCCGATACGTCAACACGGTGACCACGATGGTCATGAGCGTGGCCAACGTCCCCAAGGCAATGGCGGCATAAAAGAGTGGCGCTTCCAGAATATTCTGTTCGTGTCCCACCCGTGGAAATTGTCGTGGAATAAAGTCTTCGAGATATTCCAAATTCTCCCGCAGCCACATGCAGGTCGCATGTCGCGGATCGAATCCGTATCGATCTTGATTGCGGTTAATCCATTGTTGGAGAATGGTCCCAATTTGCAATTCACTGAGTTGAAACGCCTTGACGGCTTCGTATGCCGGACTTTGTTTGGCAGGATCAATGCCCGATTCGTAGGTCCTCTGGTACAAGCCCGAACCGACAATTTTTTGAAGTAATTGCGGGGCTTCGTCGCATGCCCCTCGTTTGTCACCGTATTGTTCTTGCGACGTTTCAAATTCACATCGTTGAGACGATCGTATCCGATGATCGACGCATTCCTGTGTGGGACTGGGTAGAATGACCTTTTGCATTTCAGCTGATGTTCCCAGGTATGTAGAATACATGGCCTCGGGTGTCCACCACATGGTCATGAGATTGGATTTAGTGGCATTGGCAGCGGCATACATTTCAACGAGTTGTGAATAGGAGTATCCTCGTGCACCCGGTTCCTTGCCACTGGATTGGAGTGCAATATTGTGGTGATGTGTTTGTGGACCAACGTAGGAACTATACAATAGTGATGACAATAAAGCATGTGAGTGAAGTTTTGGATACAAACATACGGGCAGATTGGAGTAGGAGTTCAGTCTCGTGAGTACGTAGACAGACAGACGTACCTCCAGCCACAGGGAAAGTCCGCAACTGCAGGATTGATGCCCAAGAGAAAGTTGATGCGTGACATGGATGCGTGAGAGGACTGTGTGTGGACTCCCATTTATTTGTGATCTTCCAAAGCAACTAGCTACCAAGGCTAACGTACCATGCCCTGTACACGTATCGGGATAGGTGTCACAATCATTTTCTTCCGTGGCCCGAAAGTACCCCGTGTACAGCCCAGGTACATGCATGCGATCGACTTCCTCTTCTGTGGGCGCCCGTTGTGCCACTCCATCTGGTGTGGCACACGTGGTATTGGAGACCAAGTTGCAGTACTCTCCCCACGTGGTGGGCCTCAAAAAGGTTTCGGCTAGCTTGCGTCCTGTTGTGGATTGTGTATGCAATGTAAAAAAGAAGAGGAAATGATGGAATTCATTCACGAGACAGAAAATAGGGGCGATGGAAATGTGAGTCCTTTGGTTGTGGTTGGTTGCTTGCTTCCTGGTAAAATGGGTTGATTGTATACTGATTGTATGCATTGCATTGCATTGTAATGCAATTGTACAATACATGTAATGTACGTACGATTCTCTTCTCCAGCAATTCCGAGTAGATTGAGTACAGTGGGATCGGTTTCGGCGGTGAATTTGGTGACAAACAATCCTTGCGTTCCAATGGCACCCAATCCTTCGGGGGCATCGACAATTCCCTCGCGATGATTGGACCAAAGATCTTTCAGGTTGTTGCCACCCCAGAATTCGGGAATGACGTGACCGCACGGCACGTAATCGTCAGCAGTGTCATTGTCATTGTCGTTGTGGAGTTTTGTACAATCGCCATTGGCATTGGCGGTTTCAATGGCCGACCAGAGATTGGACTTGCCATAGTCAAAGTCGTTGGTGGCCGAGTAAAAGTTGACGCCTTTGTTGGCGACTCCCGTTTCCAATGTGGTCGGTACTCGCAGCACTTCGGACAGTAGTATTTGCAGAATCCACGACGCGAAAAAGGCACTTTCCCAGTTTTGACTGAGAATCCGAACTTCCATGTAATCGTTCCACAAGCCAAAGTGTTCTTGCGTGTGATCCACACACACAATGCCGCGAGCATCGGGAGGATCGTCGCTGTTGCAGACGCGTTTGTCGCGGGACAAGCGTCGTGCCAGACTGGGCAACAGAGCGTCAGTATTGTTGTTGGCTTTGAATTCTTCACGTAGGAGTGTAGTGAGACACCCGCTTTCAAATGGATTGGTGCAAAAGCCATTCCGACATTGCGATCCCGAGTAGAGCAGCAGTTCGCATGGATTGTAGCTGGCATTGCAGGCAATGGCGGCCTCTGTAGGTCGAAGTAACAGGAGCGATGCTGCTGTCACAAAGGCAAGCACTGATGTTGGTAGTAGATTCATCCTCCACATCTTTTATATATTTGTTGACCCAATAGCTAGTAGTATACAATTCAACTCGAGTCGAGTTCCTTGATCCCGTTCGATTCGATTCTGCTTTCTTTGTTTGAGAGTTCCTCTCTTCGTCTCTTCGTTCTTCTTTCTGTTCAACTCACTCTTCAAGCAAAAAGTGGTGGACGGACTACTGCTCAGTGCATGCCTGGTCACGGGTAATGGTAGGTTGCTGGGTACGACTTTGTATTCGGTGTACAAGTATGTCAAGTAGTAAAGGCAAAGGTCCATGGAGATGGATCGTGTTGGTAATTCTTTCCTGGCGGGCCCTTGACCAAGCAGGATGTGTGTGTCGACGAGCGGGGATGCAAGCAGCCTTGTCGACTGCAATATTCAATATTCCAAAAGAGAAGTCATCGGTGGCAACAAAAGAACACAGTCAGTTAGTTGATAAACTGAGCTGGACTGTGAACTACCTGCAGAGTCACTGCGGCAAACAAGGCAATACAACACAAGCATTAAATCATGGGGCAATTACACTGGCATTTTCCAGCTTCAAGGATTCGATTCGGAATCAAGCTTTAGACAGAAAGCTGAGCACTTCGTTTTAATTCCTTAGCTGCCTACTGGTAGACTAACTACTGTAAGTGACAAAGGAGGAGAAGCGTCTTTCAAGCTCGTTCTGCACTATAACGCATTAACCAGTGAACATCTATCTTTGGTTGGCACACATCCATGTAGATCTACATGTATGTATGTTACAGCTCCAAACCAGGCATGGTCATTCAGCAATAATTATGGCAAAATGAAAACCCTTCTCAGAAAGAAAGCCTCAGACGCCCAGACGGTTTGCTGGGAAACTACGATGTACGCACACTTGGAACTTGGAAAAGATATCAAATTCATCGACGAGAATGTCATGGTGTCAAATCATGTTATGCACCCACCGACAGCTGATTGTTGATGATCCTCATCTGCTACTCGAGAAGTAGTCTAGCTCATCTACCATGGATCTTCTTGGCACCGCCAGCCAGGAAGGGTACCGTATCAATGTCATCACTACCAAATAGCTGCAATTCATAGGGTAATGCACAGACATCCCCCCGCGTATGGTAGCGTACCGACACAATGACACAACCGACGTGTGAGTGCAATGCAAAAGTGAGGTACAGGTACTAGCTAGCTAGAGTAGTATCTTTGCTCGGAAGCAACCTCCAACGACGACAATCCGCCACCACAAACGCACCGTACCTTCACCACTGCGAGTTCGGTTTCAATTCAATAGTACTACGGTAGTAGACTATTTTGAAATTGAAACCAAACACAAACATCGTCGTTTCTTTTTTGATTTTCAAAAGCTATCGCTGAAAGGAAACAACAACAAGAGAATCGAATCGAATGATCAACAATAGTAATCTCCACCAGAATAATAGTCTAGTGAATTCCTCTCATTCTCCAGGAAAGAGTAGCAAAAGGTCTTGTGTCTGCGTCCAAAATAGCCAATTGAGGTTTGTGAACAGTTCATGCTGGTAGCTCTCTTCTTCCTTCCGATCCTTCCTACCTACCTACCTACCTACCTTCCTACCTTCCTTTCTTTGTCGGGTGAAAGTCTAGTTGGCTGGTTCGTCCGTCCTCGTGCAAAGGTAAAAGTCGGTTCTTCTGTTTGGCGGGTCGCTCGACAGTCTCACCCTCTCTTGTCTTGTCTTGACTAGCTAGGATAGGAGGTTCTTCAAGTTTCGAAAGCAACGGTCGCCTCGCCGGGTGTCACGACACACATGTACGGTCCACAAGTCTCGCATTGCATGCATGCATGTCATTAGTAGTTCTTTGCTCTTCGGAGTCAACATTCGTGTTGGAACTGGCCGGCGGCAGAGAAGACTGTCCTCGACCAGTTCGCTGAACCAAAGTGGCATGCGCCCTTGGTTTGCATTATACTTTGCGCTCAGCTCAAGTCTAACCTCTTTCTTGTTCCATTCTGCTTTTTCAATAGGCAACACAAGTCCATCAACCGTTTCTTCGTCCAAGTCGGCAGTCTTCGATTGAATCATTCCAACCACGACCAACCAACCAACCAACCAACCAACCAACAATCAACCGACCGACCCGACCAACCAACCCCCCACCCACCCACCGACCAACCGACCAACCAAAACAGAGAACCAACAAGACGGCAAGAAGAGACTTGGACGAAGCAACCGTTTGATCCACTTGTGCTCCGTGACCCTTGGATCTGATCCCCGTGCTGGTTGGGCTCTTTGCACGTGCTTCGGGACACTGGCTGGCTGGTTCCTTCTCTCCGTCCGCAACCCTTGGATCTGATCCCCGTGCTGGTTGGGCTCTTTGCACGTGCTTCGGACACTGGCTGGCTGGTTCCTTCTCTCCGTCCGCAACCCTTGGATCTGATCCCCGTGCTGGTTGGGCTCTTTGCACGTGCTTCGGGACACTGGCTGGCTGGTTCCTTCTCTCCGTCCGCAACCCTTGGATCTGATCCCCGTGCTGGTTGGGCTCTTTGCACGTGCTTCGGGACACTGGCTGGCTGGTTCCTTCTCTCCGTCCGCAACCCTTGGATCTGGCTGGCTGGTTGTGGCGTCAGTCTCACTTTCACTCTTAGATAGCTTAAGTCTCACACCTCTTCTCTCTCTCTTGACATGCCAAAGCCATGGTTCCAGCTTTCTTCTTTATCTCTTGGACTGGTCGGGCTCAAGACTTTTGTCCGTTTCAGAGGAATCAAGGTCGGTCGCACTCAAGGTCCCATCAACTCCAGTCGGTGGCTCTTCCCTTTTTTGCTGCGTCTCTTCCTTTCGTGTTGGTTCGGTTGGTTGGTCGTTCAAGATGTTCCAAATCCACACTACAAAGCCACACTACACACACCAACACCAACACCAACACCACGTCTCCACCTGGATCCGTCTTGATGCGTCGTCGTCTTTAGCTGGTCATTCACACACGTGTACCGTGCAGCTTTGCTCGGTACTTTCTCCGGTGTTCCTTGGAGCTGCTTCGAGCCTTAGTACGATCTCCCAGCCTTGTTGTCGAATATTCCTTTCCTACAGTGGCCCAGCTCTTGTCGACAATATGATCCCTTGCTGACCACAAGCTTACGTTCCAGCGTTGACGAATGTTTCCCGTTTGGTTCTCTGGTCGGGCACAAGACTTGCTGCGGTGTGTCCATGTCGAGCAAAGAATCGAGTCAAGGCCCATCGGTTCCCTGCCGTGATTCAGGTACGACTCTAAGGTACATCAGTGTTCGCATGCAAAAGCAAGCCACCAGAGTTCAGAGTTCCTGCAATCTTGTAATTCCGCCTCCAAGACAACGGCTCAAGCTTCGAATCCCAACGCCTTGACCAAGCTTCGTGATGCCCTCGTCAAGGCTACTCCCAACCTGACACCTTCACACCGTCGATCCCTCAACCTAGCCAATCTAAGACAGGCATCACACAACGACAACACGCCGATAGTCACGATCTTTCTGAGCTGTGCTCCTGACCCCTGGATTTGAATCTTGGCTAGCCTCCACTCCTTTTGGCAATCTCCCTGGCTCCTTTGGCATTCTCCTGTGCTCCATGACCCCTGGACTTGAATCTTGGCTAGCCTCCACTAGGAACTAGTGATTGGGATTTTCTCATCCTTGGTCTCCCTGGTTTGGCTGCTCCTTTTGGCTCCAATGATCCCTGGATTTGAATCTTGGCTTCTTCTGCTTCCAAACCTGTGGCAAAAGCTGATCTTGGCACAAGTCTTTTGGTGATGAGACTATGTGTATTGTTGGAGGTTCTGCCCAAGATATGGCGTCCCGCGAGAGACACCGATGCTGACGCTACGACCGATGCTGACACAGATGATGACACCACAACAATGGGGAGCCACCACCACCACGATTCAGCCAAGACCCACCCTTTCGTTCTCCATTCCCCAGCAACTCAACTTTCCAGCCACCCCTTAGCCGCAATGCCAAAACCCAACCTGCAACTGCTGATGTATCGGCCACTCTTGATCAGCAACTAACCCCCACAGCTTCTTCTAGTCCAACCCAACCTGCAACTGTTGATGTATCGGCCACTCTTGGTCAGCAACCAACCCCACAGCTTCTTCTAGTCCAACCCAAACTGCAACTGTTGATGTATTGACCACTCTTGGTCAGCAACCAACCATCATGTACCGGTATGATCTCAGTCATATCTAGGCGCGCACTTTCTTTCTAGCGTTACCGGCCAAGCAATTGTCTCTAGTCCACGACGCTGCACTCGAGGCTTATTTTTGCAGTTTCAGTTGGCCTTCCTGCTTCGTTCACTTCAATTGAATCTTCCTCTTTGCTTCTTCAGCACTGGAATCCCTACAATGGTCAGCACCAACACTGGAGTTCCTACAGTATTGCTTCATTCATATCGTAGTCTGATCACCATCTATCTGTATTACTAGCTAGGTTGGCAAAAGATAATCTTATTTCCAAAAGGATCCGTGACTTTGACTTCACGAAAGCCCCATGGTTGTTGCTCAATGGAGGGTCTGGCATATTTGTACTTCTTGGACGCCAAGGTTTCATGTAGAGCATCGATGTTGTCTATTTGTATGCGAATAGTGGATCCCGGACAGGCATCTCCATGATGTTCGCTCAAGTGCAACTCAAACAGAGCTTCTTTGCCATCATCAGGTGGCAGCTGTAGGCCAAGGTAGAGGGGGGCATCCGGATCAAAACGATGTTCAAAGGTGACTTTGAATCCCAAATAGTCCACATAAAACTCTTTGGCTTTGGTTTCGTCAAACGACCGGAAGATTGGATTGATCTGTTGGATGGTCATTGCTTGAATATCGATGGTTTGGCGGAACTGATATTGCTCGTCTATTGATAGGTGGTGTCTGCTGAGGAGAGCGGTAACACAACGATGCACCTTGGCGCGAGTCGAGTCAGTCAGTTGTGAGATTGAAAGGTTCTAGTATTGAAAGGGTGGAAGGGTCGCTTGATGGAGTTTGGTCGCTACCGACGCTCTACGGGTGGTACGATGTTTTGAGCCTCTCTGTGTGGGGGGAAAATTGACGCCAACACGTTTACGGGACTAATCTCACATGCATGTCTCCCTCGATCGTTCGCTTCGACGCCTCGCTTGGGTGTTCGTCTTCGACGAAAACCAGCTACGTTTGCTTGAAATGGTCCAACCCGTAGATTGACATGTTGCAGCCACCTAGCTAGCTCACGAAGGTGGAAGCACGCTGCTATCATGATCAGGGGTTGTTGGAAGGCACAAGCAATACAATCCAAATCAAGATCCGAAGATTGGCTGAGAAGATTAAAAGTGATAGTACCGTATCGGCTGCGAGGTTCGAACTACAGACCTCTTCGGTGCTACGTGAATGAACTGCTCGTGCAGCGGTCTCTTGGTGGCGACTGTCTCCGCTCAATACGTGGTAGAATTTAGACCCGACGCAACATTCAGGCATCCTTCCAAAACTCTTGGATATGCTCCCCCCCCCCCCCGCCATGCCTTCGTCTCCCACACATGTTAAAACCATAGAACAACCAAGTAGAGAGGGCAGGCAACAGGCACCACTCGGGCTCAAAAGAACGATGCATGACAAAGATCTGACATCCATCCAAGCATGGAGGCTGGAGGTGGACAAAATCATTCCTATTTATAAAAACATCTTCTTAGCCACAACGCGGGTTCGAACCACGGACCTCTTCATTACTAATGAAGTGCTCTAACCAACTGAGCTATTGCGGCCTTCAGTCGTGCTTCCTCACTTTTCCTTGCTTGTGAAAGTTGCCACTATGATTCTACCGTAACACATGTATTGTTGTTGTTGCACCCACCTCGGAAGGGAGCTCCTAAAGGCCGGTCTCTACCGGAGCGACTAAAGTAGCGACTAAGCCATATTTTGTAGTTTAGTCCATAGTTTAGTCTCTTGGGGTGGTGTCTACCCAAGCAACTAAACGTCATACGGACTAAAGCCTTTAGTCGAAATGTTGGTTCACGGACTAAAGGGAGGCTGTTGTTGGTGCACCCAGCTGAGAAGGGAGCTGCTATCACTTGCACCTCAGTTCGTGCTTCCACACATTTTCTTCATTATGAAAGTTGCCACTATGATTCTACCGTAACACATGTATTGTTGTTGTTGCACCCACCTCGGAAGGGAGCTCCTTTAGTTCTACGAGCAGCTTCGATTTTTCTGATTCAAACGCGTGCCAGCTTTTCTGGTACACTTCTACGAGTGCTCGTGTAGAAATGTATGAATAAGCTCGGCTCGCGTTTGAATCAATAGAAAAGAAGCTGCCTGTAAGTAGAAGGCCTAATGAGACTGCTTTGAAAGCAGCTCAGTTGGCGACAGCTCTGGCGGCTGAGAATGATTCATCTGCGCCGGAAAATCAATTGAAGGCTGCACCGAAAAATATGCCTGGCTGACTTGCTTTTTGAAAATCCCTCGCTGCCCCGCATGCTCGATGTGAACAGAACTAAGTCGTCGTTTGGGTCGTCGTTTGGCTTCTTGTTTGTGGGCACCCAGGAGATCGATTCCCAAGATTTTTGTTGTTTTATTGTTTTTTTTTACTAGTATCGATGGCAGCTACCATAATATCTGGAAAGACGGTGGCAAACTACACGTACGACCATGGCGAAGAAGAGCAACCCCCGTTCGTCCACTAGTGGCTCAACGAACAACAAGAAGAAGAGCCGTCCAACGAAAAGGGATATCGCTGCTGCAACCCACAGCCAGAATATTGCGAAGTTTTTCGGTCCATGTGCCACTTCTGCGGCCAATCCCGTCGTCAAACCTGTCGCTTCCAACAAACAAGCTTCCAAAGAAACGGCCAATGGCAAACGACCTTCCAAGACGCAACGAGAAGCCCCCGATGATCAACCTTCTGCCGACCTGGTTGTCTCCGACCCAGTTCGTACCGATCCTGTCTTTGAGTTTCCTGCCGCCGATCCCGCGACAGATCCTGCCTCCTATCATGCGACCGATCCTGTACCCAAGCTTTCTACCGCCGATCCCGCGACAGATCTCGATGTTGTGGCCTCTGCCGCCGATCCCGCGACCGATCTCGATGCTGTGTCTTCTGTTGACGCCGTCGCCGACCCAGTTCGTACCGATCCTGTCCTTCAGCTTCCTGCTACCGATCCCGCGGTCGATCTCGATGCTGTGCCTTCTGCGGACGCCGTCGCCGACCCAGTTGGAAGCGATCCCGCCCTCGAGCAACAACCGCAATGCTCAGATGTCCGCTGGAAGGGTGTCACCTACAGCTTTGCAGAGCCTCCTCTAGTCTCAACATTGGAGGAATGCATTTTGAACTACAAATGCAAGTCTCAGATTGACACTATCATTGATCAAGCCCCAGATCTCTCCACCAAGGCCAGACTTCGTCAACTGGATGAGATTGTACAGAACTTTCTTGAATTAAAGTTCGCTGCAATGGTGGATGGAACGGATCCTGCTTTGAAGTGGGGAATTGGGCGACTCAAGATGCGCAGTTTTGACACTTCTGGAGTCTATGGCATTGCCTACACCAAGAAGAAACCCACTGTTGCCTCTGCCATGAACACAAATATCGGTGCATCATTGGTAGGATGTCATGCCAGCGCGCTGAAGCAAAACGCACCAGTAGCTGCTTTGGTGATGGACTTGGAACAATGTCTGGCTGCAGTGCCTGAAGAAGTCATTCACCAAATTTTGGATCTTCGATTGCCTGGTCTGTTTGTTCATGATGACCACCAGGAGTCAGTTGCTCACTTGATTGCTCTACAGCTGTGTGAGGCTCTTCATGCCTGTGGGCGTCACACTTGTACAGGAACCATCTGTGAACGATTGACTCAGCTTCCCAGCAAACAAGTGGTAGAGCTGATGACCCCACCAACTTTTGAGAGTGGTGTCCTTGGCAGCATGGCTGATATTCCAGTTGGTGGGATCCCATTTATTACTACTTGGCCAACTTTGAGGAGTTGGCTGGTAGCTACAGGTCAAGGGCGATTGGTTCGGAAATTGCCAGAGGGAGAATGTGTCACCTTCCAACGCTTGGGGGCAGTCTTTGGCCCAAAGCTTGGGGTGATTCAGAATGCAATTCCTTACTGCCCCCGCGTCCAGCGAGATTTGGAGCCATTACTCAACAAACTCAATGCCATACTGGAAGAGTGCCACATGAATGATGAAGAGATGGATGATACGATGAAGGAGCAGATTCGGAATGCATTGGATGCTATTCGCCATGACAACTTTGATTCCTATGTCAAACCAACTCAGGAGGAACTGGGAACCTTTGTGCGACCTCTCCTTGCAAGGTGGCTACAAGAGATGCCTCACAACTATGTCATTGGAATGGAGCGATGTTCCCTCTTGGCGCTTGAAGCCTGTGAGTCAGAGTGGCTGGCAGACAACCTTGATCTCAGCTCTGAGATTGACTTGTTGCCCCATGATCCATGTGCTCTCCGTGTCTTGCAGGCAAAGAGCAAACATCGCATCCTGGTTGTGTCCTCTTACTTTCGTTCCATGTCAGAGAAAACGAGAATGCTTGCCCGCAAACGAAGTGTCAAGGCACAGCTTGCTGGCACCAGTTTGCTGGTTCAGAGTGGAAATCTGCCTGTGCAACATGAAGAGGAACTCCGTTGTGTGATGCAATCATTTCTAATGGGGCTGACATTTGGATATGCTGATGGCCATGATGACAATGACAATGGCGTGGACGATGAGGAGGACAGCCTTGTGGATGATGATGACGCTGACACTGACAAACTCAACCTTCGTCTAGCCAGAATCAAGGCAATGCCCAATGGATTCTTTCTTGGGGCCCCTCCAAATGTCTTGGGTGTTTCCAAGAGCCTTGAGATTGGATATGCAGAAGCCATCTACCTGCGGGAGCACCTTGGATTTGCCAAGTTTGGAAAGGTACTGACTGCACATGGGATAAACCCCCATTCCCCCATGGAGGAGGATTGGTGTTGTCCTGGGACTCCTGCTACTGCTGGTGTGGTGGCCAAGCCTTGTACGAACCCTGAGGATGTCAAGAAGCCTGTCATGATTGGTGCTGCGGTGAAGGAGCATCCCTTTGCTGGTGAGTGGTGCTGCAACAAGTGCCACCGTGGTTTGGAACGTTTGGAGGTGAAGATTCTTCAAGACAAGGTGTCCAAGGGAGATGAGCTTACTACTGAACAGCAAGAGCGCTTGGAAGAGTTGGAAGCTCGGCAACAAAACAAGCGGGACAAGACGAAGGAGCGTCGAGACCTGATCAAGGCTGAAGCACCAGAAGCACTTCTGGATGAAGAGCGAAACAAGGAAGCCACCACGAAAAAGCGCAAGTTGAACGAGTATGAAGAAAATCCAAAGCTGAAAGAGGCCGATTTGAAGAAGCGCCGCAAGGATGACCAGAAACGCAGAGAGAAGGGGGAGAAGAAGGCCCGCGGTATCAATCGGTTCACAACCAAAGGAGTTGGCAAGGATGGGCTGTACCCAAAGCGCATTCAGGAAAAGCTGCAGTTGGCTATTCAGCATCTTGGGAATGAGCTCAATGAAATGCACATCTTTTGGAATCACATTGTAGATGTGTGCAGTGCAGTGTTGGTGAAGGAAGAGCCCAAAGGGATGGCAATGAAGAAGACAGGGAAAGGAGAAATGGTGCCCACCTACTGTGACTTTGCTTTTCGTCAAGCTGCCCTCACCTGTGGTCTAACCCAAGGAATTACAAACAAGAAGCACTGGTTGTGGCCAAACTATGACGAGAACAAGCGGACTCAGAAGCGCCTTGTCAAAAAGGAAGTCCTTCCAGTTGTGATTTCGAAGATGTATCCTGGCTCCGAGCTTGCTGGTTGAGCTAGCTATTGGTGGTCTACAATAGTTGTCCTTGTAATCATTCCGTAGTGCTCAACCAACTGAGCTAATGCGGCATCGCACAGTTGTTGTTGCCTCCCTGCTGAGATGGAGCTGCTGTCAACCGAACCATGGCTTCTGTGCCTCAGAAGTTCACTCACCAACGATTTCTGAGAAACAGAAAGTCACTTACTCTAAGGCAGAACCAAAATACTTGTGTTGTGTCTGGACCTCTTCAATACTAATGAAGTGCTACTAGTATAGTTGTTCGTCAAATTCTACCTATTGTCCTCCATCTTGGAAACGCTGCTGCCACGCTTCTTCATCATGCATCCAACCACCATCCAAAAGAAAAGCTCATGTCGGAAGATCAGCTCATGTTATGCAAGAAGTGTTACCGACCACGGCAACACCTGGCTAGCTCTCGGCCTTCTTTCCAGACTTTTTGCCACCCTTCGTGCCTCCTTTGTCGTCTTTTTTTGTGTCCTCCTTCCCAGCTTCCTCCTTGTTGGTGGGTCCTTTCCTGTTACCGACCACAGCAACACCTGGCTAGCTCTCAGCCTTCTTTCCAGACTTTTTGCCACCACCCTTCTTGCCTCCTTTGGCGTCTTTCTTGGTGTCCTTCTTCCCGGCTTCCTCCTTCTTGTTGGTGGGTCCTTTCCTGCAAAAACAAACAGACAAACGAGCATGGTGAATGATGAAGAAAAAAGGCAGGAAGACATCCAACTCTTTTTCAAACGAAAACTTACTTGGGCATCTTGACTGGTTTTCTTCCGTGGAAGTATATTCTCTTTGTCGCTTTTGTGAGCTTGAGATTTTATGACGGCATAGACTATCTATCCCATCCCTCTCTCTGGCATCTTCCGCCAAATCTTGGACTTCCGCACGCTGTTAGGGGCCGCACTGTTAGGTTCCGCAAAGAGCTTCCGCATACTGTAGCATTGCTTGGTTGTGACCCATGAGAAGGTTGGATTCGAATGCATGATTCACCGTCTTGCTTGGAAAATCACTGGTCCAGCTAAATATATTCTGCAGTTGGTTCCGCAAAGAGCTTCCGCATAGCATTGGTTTGACACTCGGATGATGAGAAGGTTCGATCTTTCGAATGCTTCTTCGAAGATCACCGGGTAGCTCGTAGCTAGCTAGAAATCTTCTGCAGATTGTTCCGTTATTGAATTGAATTCATTTCTCTGCAAGGGCAGCAGCTTCTTCTCGCTCTTTCAATGCTTGTGCCACCCGTGCTTCCACGGCCGCTCGCTTGGCGGCCAATTCAGCTTGTTTCTCTTCCTCTGTCACGTTCGCCCGTTCAATCCACGGCAATTCTCCATTGGTGGGATGCGTCACACGGACCCAGTTGATCTGCTGGGTTTCGTGACAGTGCACACAGGGACCCGGTGGCTGGTTGTTGTTGTTGTTGTTGTTACTTTCACTGTAATCCTTGGGAATGCCACAATACCCACATTTCCAGCAAATACAGCCACGTCCCAGTCGAATATTACTGGATGGATCCTTGGCATAAATTTCCAACAGCTTGTCGGTACAATCCTTGAGACGCACACCATTGGGGACCAATCCACACTTGAGAAATAATTCCACGGCATTGTGGAGATTGCGTGGGAAATTGGGATCGTTGCCTTCACTGCTGCCAATATTGGGCTGAATCTGAATGGTGGCATACTTGGGCGAAACTTCCATGCGGAGAACGTCTCCTTCCCGCAATATCTTGTCTGGTGGTTGTTCTGTCATACTGCTTGTTTGATACATACATACAAATAAATAAATAACAACGAGTGATTTTGCTGGGAGGTGAATGACAAAGATGAATGAGGCACCGTTGGGTTTGCGAGGGTGTCGTTGCTTTGGTGGTGGCAGATCGCACTTGGAGGCCTTCTCACGGGCGACGGCCAGACTAGCAGACTGTAGATGTTCTTCGAACAAAGAATGCAATCTTCCGTTCTGACCATTCAATGCGTGACTCCTCTATCAAAGAGCTTCCTCTGATTTTAAGATTGTCAATGAACCGGTGTGAACTGGATGGAGGTGGCAGAGCACTGGATGAGAGATGCCAAGCAGGAGTTTGCCTCTCAAAGTCGAGTGAGTCTATCTAGAGAGCTCTAGCTAGTAGATAGAGGAATGAAAATCGAGTAACTACGGTTGATATCTTACATGGTGGTTTGTTGTTATCTGGTACTGCTCAACTTTGATACCCCTCACGCGGTGAATAGACGGATAGAAAGCTCCAGGTTGAAACTAACTCGGATCTGGGGAAAGGACGAACGCTAACCTGGGGCTGCTCTACAAGGTTGTTGGCGGTCAACGCATTGACAGTGCCGTTCAGGTACCGTACATATTGGGGCTCTGTGACCAGAGTATGGTCGCCTTGTTGGGACAGGGTACATGTCGTTGATTGACCATCAGGTCGAGATACACACACAGAGTGAAACGTCATTCCGCTTCATGAGAGGAGCCGTCAAAGATAGATTGCAAAACTAGCTAGACTAGACTATTGAGACATTCAGAAAGTGGTACCGGGTAACGGCATTGGTGGAGCTATTCCAGTTGGTTGATGTCCTCGTTGGGGAGTCGGTATCTTATCTTCAAGGGAGAAAAGGCAACCGTTTGGTGGTCGCGGATTGGAAGATCCACAGGGCACATCATGCCAGCACGCAAGATCGCCACTGGATATCCCAGTACGCCTGGCTGACTCATATTTCTACAAGGTTCACACGTTCACACACTTCTGCAAGCTTGGACATAGGTTTAAAGGTGATGTCCCGGCGACCATACAGTGTACAGTACATACATGTAGAAACAAGAACATCACGTTATCCTACCACAAACCATCGGGGGGAGGATAGCATTGCATTCCATTCCATTGCTGCCTCAGCATGTCGGGTTCTGCTGCTTCCAACAACGATGAGCTGATGTGGGGAGTAGCCGACGATGTGTGGGTACAGGGCATTTTTCCGTTCCTTGGCTTTGGCCACTTTGCTTTTGTGGCGCCCGTCAGCAAAAAGATGAAGCAGCTTTATCTGCAGTATTGCGATGCACAGGATCCTCCCAAGATTATTGATCGCAGCAATCCGCAACGACAGACCAGTCTTGCCGATTGCCTCCGATCGGTCCATCCCGTGTCCACGGCCACCAGCACGACTACTTTTTGGAGGGCGGCCTTTACCAATGTATCGTGTGCCGAATATTGGTACCGATACAGCTCTACTACTACGGGCGAAACGAAAAATCCCGACCACAACAATGTGTGCCGCGCCGTGGCCTATTTTGGAAGTTGTGCCGTGTTTCAATGGGCCCGCGAAAAGGGCTTTCCATGGGATCGAGCCACCTTTGTGTGGGCGGCGCGCAGTGGAAATATGGAGATTCTCAAGTTTGCCCATGCCAATGGTTGTCCCTGGAATGAAAATGCCTGCAACAGTGCTGCCTGGTATGGACATTTGGATGCCCTGAAATGGCTGCGACAGCAAGGCTGTCCATGGGGTGTCTGGACATGTGCCTTTGCAGCAGAAGGTGGCAACTTGCACGTGCTGAAATGGGCGCATGCCAATGGCTGTCCATGGAACCAATTAACTTGTGCCCTGGCAGCTCTGTTTGGACACTTGGAGCTGTTGCAATGGGCTCGTGCCAATGGATGTGACTGGAACTCCATGACATGTACGGCAGCGGCTACCGGTGGTCACTTGCATGTTTTGAAATGGGCCAGGGACAATGGATGTCCATGGGGGGCCATTACCTGTGCCATGGCGGCGGAATGCAATCACATGGAGGTTCTACAGTGGGCTAGAGACCATGGCTGTCCCTGGGATTCGGCAACGTGTTCCAAAGCTGCTTCCAATGGTCACTTGAGGGTGTTGCAATGGGCGCGAGAAAATGGATGTGTATGGAATAAGGAAACATGTGCCCGTGCAGCAGAAAGGGGACACTTTGAAATACTACAATGGGCCCATGAACATGGCTGTCCTTGGGATGCAACTACATGCTCCAGTGCTGCTAAAGGGGGCCACTTGGTGATCTTAAAATGGGCTCATGAACAGGGGTGCCCATGGGATGAGCGGACTTGTGAAAATGCTGCCAAAGCAGGCCATCTGGAGGTTCTGAAATGGGCACGCTCCAAGCAATGTCCGTGGGATGAAACAACCAGTAATGCAGCAGAAGAGAATGGACACAGCCATGTTCTAGAATGGGCTCTTGACAATGGCTGCTTGATAACTATATAGCTTATCATGTATAGTTATCATGATTGTACCGCTGATGGCTCTCTTCGGTACGGCAACGAGGTCCCACTCACGAATTTCGTTCGTTCAGTGTTCCTGTTTGAAGCTTCATAAGCAACACATCAACTGCTTCTCTTCAGTATCGTATCCACCAAAACAAACTAATGTATTAGCGGTGAAGCCGTTCTTGGCTTTGAACCCTATCCACAAGTTTCTCTCTCTTCTAACCTAATAAGAAAACGAGGCTCTCCCGCCACCTTGTTTGCTGTGGCTTTTGTCGTTCCTAGCTAGCTACTGTACGATAGTCGTATGCTATTGGGAAATCGTTTGCATGGCTTTGCAATGATGTACGGTACATCCCGATTCGATTCGACCCAACGAACCACAGTATTGTATGACAATCGGGTTGTTCAGCAAGTGGTACTACTATGGAGTCGGTAGCGCCAACCACGATGTTTGGTTAGTTTCGTCCGTCGTGGAAGCTTGCTCAAAGGAAGCACAAAGGCTGGTACCAATTCCCAGTCCAGCTCCTCCACCAATCGTAAACTCGTAAAAGAAGACACCATTGAAACCTGGACGAAAAGAGTCAGTTTTTTGTTGGTTGGTTAGGAACAGATAGATGATGCATCGATCGTCTACGTGCGTCTGTGCATGCACTCACCACATCCGATTGCCACACCTGCAGCAGCGAGCACAATGATATCAATATCAAGCCATATGCCTACACAGAGCATGTTGGCAGTATTATCTGTGTTTGTGAATCCAAAGACGAAGGAGACCTCAGCTCCTGCGCCCAGTTCCAGCCCGGGGCACATTCGTAGCATGGTTTTCTGATCCGTCTGTTGTTGTATCGTGAAGGAAAGGATGAATTGCGGTACCACCAGGAAGGGTCAGAGACGCTCCAAAGCAACAAAAGCAGCAATAACCCAGGGAACTACAATACTCACTCCAAGGGACGCCACCAGGTAATTGAGGGTAAAGTCAACGAGCAAACCACCCTCGATGTGTAGCCCAATATAGCTGACGGTGCCATCCTGTTTGCCGGAGGTTTCATTGTTGGCCGCGTCAATGCATCCACTGCTTCTTTCTTGAAGCGCTTTCAAGGGTGCCATGTTCTGGCGGAATGCCGTTGTGATGGCCTCCCATTCATCTGTTTGGAGGAAATCTCGTCCACTTTTGGCATTCGACAGAGCCGCCAAGAATTCGCTTTCGGAATATCCCGCTGCCGCAAAAACGAGGTCCTTGTAGGCTTGTTCATCAAACGTAACTGTGGCAAATGACTCCTCTAAGCAATTATTGTCGGGTAGGCATCGGTTGCCATAGGCGACCTCGGTGCATTCGTTTCCTGCGGCACAACCGTTGCGGTTCCCACATCTGTCGCCGAAACCTCGTTCTTGTTTCTGGAGACCTCGATGGTTATGACCGCGAGGTTTGTTCTTGCTCCATTGTTCGTCTGCAAAGGAGACTCTCTCATCGTCGTGCATGTGGGCTAACTCTTGAAACGAGGAACCCAGAATCTCAATGTCGTCGTTGCAGGCTACCAGTGGAGCCAGCAACCAAACTGCAGACAGCAGAGGAAGGAAAAGGTGCGACGCCTTCCAAACCATGATTCTTAGTTGTTTCTTCACTCTAGAGAGGAGCAAATAGATGATACCACAGGTAACAAAACTTGTTCAATCCAAGGAATTATTGCTTCTAGCTTTGGGCTTTGGAAGCTCCAGATCAGAAATTCAATGTTTCGATACACGAACCCCCGCGATGGTGTCCATGTTACCGGTCCTGGATGGATCAAATGCAAACCGTTGGTACCTTTCAACTGTCAGGGGAGGATTCTCTGTAATCTCTACACCACACTTACAACTTTGGTTGCACATACATGTCCCACCACCAAACTGCTCCACTTAGGTTGGCTGCAAATCGCAGTGGCGGAATGGGGCTCCATTGGCGTTCCAAACCGTTGGCGATATCACGCTAAATACCGACGAGCTGGAGGGAGGTAAAGTTGGCCGTTGCAAACGTACATTTGGATCGCACACTTGGCCCTTTGGTTGGCGAACCCTTGGTACATGTATCGTGGTTTTGCCCTCCACAACAGCATCGCAACTTGCTCGAAGCTTTGACTGGTACCAGCAACTCCTCCAAAGATCCGGGCTGGGAAAAAGCAAGCGCCACAATACCGGTGCTTTGCACTGGCGCAACTGAAAAAGTCCCGCTTGGCCAAATTGGGACTCTCCCTACTAGCTACTACGACTGTAGACAGCCTCCGAGCAGGGCTAGGTCCAATTTAATTGTATTGTATTGTATTGAAAATTGAATTGTATTGTTTTGGTATTGAGAGCCTGTCTTAGATATTGGGTATTGTATTGGTATTGGAGCCCCACCAGCAATACCCCATTGGAGCAGATCTAGACAATACCAATTTGGTATTGACCCCCCCTGTGGTAGGGATAGGGTGCCTTGAAGGCTACAAGTGTACCTTGAAGGCCTATGAACATGATAGAAAGCAGCAGATTGATGCCAGGTTTGCCCAATGGGCAGCCAAAGCTGATGAAGAGCTCCTATCAGCAGCTGCTGCTTTGAGTGCATTGGCTCTGACCGATGGCGAGTAGGCGCATTAGGTAGTAGCTACATGTAGGTATTGAAACTAGGTATTGTTGGTATTGTAGCTAGAGAACCCAATTTGGTATTGGGATGAATTCTGGAGGTCAATACAATTCTAGTACTTTTTGCCATTTTCACCAATACAATACAATACGAATTGAACCAAGCCCTGCCTCCGAGACCTTGTCGACGGGCTAGAGCAACGCTCCGGCAAGGCAGAGTCATTCATGTATCGTGCGGAGATGTCGCGGGGCTAGTCAGAAATAGGATGAAAAAGCACAGCTCTTGCTCTAGCTAGCTATCTAGCTACCGGTGCTCTCTGCAACTCAGGCTCGGGAGATATAATATTGTTATTTAGGCTTGGGCTGGATGAACCCTGCTTCTTGGAACTTAAAAGCATTAAGATATCCAAGGAGCTGACATTGTTCCTTGTCATGAGCAAGGATGCATTTGATTGCATTTGGAGGCTGTTGGAGGCCATTGCATTGTCAGGAGTCGAGTCTGCTTGTTCTTCCTCCTGTACAACTTTCGTCTTTGCTTGTTCACTGCTCCAGTCTTGCAAGCCTGGGTGTTTGAAACTAGTCTCTGTTGGTAAATGACTGGTTCCAACGTACGTGGAACCCTGTGGATCCAGCAAACAGGGTTGAAACATACTGGGAGGTACATCCGCATTACAAACTCGGAGAGTGCAGCTGGCTTTTCCTATCCACAATGAGATCATTTTGTTGCTTCAGCATGGACAGGATCATCTCTATTTTGTCATCCATTGTTCCCATCCTAGCTTCAACATTCTCCAGCTTGTTTTGATATAGTTGCCGTTCCTCTGCCAGGTCTGCCTTCTCAGAAGAAGCTCCACAGTCATCTCTCAGGGGGATGTCCGTATCAGGCTCTAACGGCCGCATGCTGGAGTCGCTTAGCTGCAAGTCAGTCAACAAGCTCTCATGACTGTAAGTAGCTTGGGAGCACTGGGAGGCAAGAAGCCTCTCCCTTCGGGCATCCCTGCTGCACTGGTCGAGGCTTCTGCTGGAATTTGGTCGTTTGAGCATCTCTGCAATTTCCTTCCGAGTCTCCTCCAAGGTGCAAAACCTCTCCCTTTGGGCATCAGAATCTGGTCGTTTGAGTGTCTCTGCAATTACATTTCGAGTACCGGTAGCCTCCAAGGTGGCAGTTGGTTGGTTGGCTCTTCCATTAACGTTCCGAACTACAAAGGTGTTGGCACGTGGTGGCATCCCTACGATTGGACCATGCTTTCTGAATGTCTGTTGTTCTCGTTCCAAACCCTGCTTAGCCAACTCCTTCTTTTCCCACTTGCTGTAGTACTTTGCAACCACACTGACCAGGAGAGCAAATGTCATGGACATCCAGTGGAGTGCAAATGTGCCAATCATCTGATGCATTGACAGGGCATCATTGCTCGAGCCGTCACTACTAGTGGAACTAGCTGCAGCCACTGCTGCCCCCTTGAGTATGCGGTGGTTCTCAGGTGTTGATGAGGCTGCTGAAGATACCTTCGTCCCAAGGCGACGACGCCTGCTATCAAAAATACCAACTGTCTCGGTCTCTTCATCTCCAGCGGCACAGTTTATATCCTGACGTTTGGATCTATGCTTTTCCCAGAGCTGTTCCAGGCCACCTTCATTTAGGAATTCAACAAAATGCACATTCAAGACGTCTCTGGTGAAGCTACTGCAGAGATCACCAGCATCGGCCTTGACTGCAAATCCCGCCTTGATTGTCTTGATGCTTCGTCCCACCCACTCCAGATCACAATCGGGGTTGTACAAGGACTGTTTTTCGTAAGTCAACCAGCTGTCTCTGTACATCACTGCCAGAGCACACTCTCCACGCCGCAGAGCTTTGTAGACTTCCTGTTGATTTGGCTTGGGTACCAAGATAGCTTTTTGGTACTTGTTGCTGACAAACTCATGTTGGTTAGTGCCTTCCCAGGTGCAAATGGGGACACCAAGTAAGACAGCTTGTTCCACAGAGTCAATAACCACAGATGGCCGTTGTGTTTCAACAAAGAGAGAAGCAAGATTGGCAGTGTAGGTGGCTGTTTGGAGGATAGAATGGGTTAATAGTAAGCAGGTGTATGTAAGTGAGTGGGATAATCCGGGGTTCCCAAAGGAAAAAGTACTGTACCAAGACCAAACGTACCTGTAATGACAAGAGCCCAAACTCCTGTGCTCACCCCAAATATGCGTCCCGCAACACTGTTGGGGGCATACTCAAAGTTCTGGGTGAAGCTCAGGGAGCTTAGGTAGAGATTGTCGGAGAACCACTGGAACAAGGATCTGTCTTCTCTTTCATCACTGAGCTGCTCAATCAACTGGTAAACTACGGCAGATAGTATGATTGTCATGCCAATAACAGCCCATACAGCCAGTTCAAAGGGCTTGGCCCAATTCAACAGATTAACATTGCTGGGCACAGGAGGGTCTCTCTGATCCACCAGAATCAAGCTGCCATCATACCAGGCTTCTGTAAAGCTGGCACCCCTCTCCATTCGCTCCAGGGAATGATCATATGAGCTGACAGCAATATCAAAGTTCTCCACGGACCAAATCAACCTCTCAGTCTGCATGCATCAATAAACCAAACAAATGTACGTGTGAGAAGGAAAGCCTGAGGGATCCGGGCTGCCTCAGAGGCCATGTCCATGTATACATACCCATGACTTGTCCAAGAAGTTGCCTGGATCCATCACACCAAATGAGTCTCGCCATGTAAAATTTGCCCGTTCAGCCAAGACATCCATGATCTCTGCCAAGATTCCTGGATCCTCGGGGCTCATTCCCTCTCCAGCTGTGTAATTGAGGAACTCATCACTCATAAAGACTGCAGTTAGCTTCATTCCGGAAAGAGCACCTCGAAGCTGGGTCTTGCCGGTGGCAAAATCCTCGTACCGATCACAGATGTTTTGTCGGACACCGCCTCCAGCAAAGTCCCCTGCCAAGTTCAGGACAGGGACCTGCCCAATCTCTCCTCCTTTGGCTTGGGCGACACATGGCAAGGATGCCACAATCAATGCTACAAGTAACACTGCAAAAGTTGGTACTCCTCCTTCCATCTTTTAAACTCAAAACAGTAAGGGATGGATTGTGATGATGAGAGATGAGAGGAGCTGTGAAAGGTGGCAAAGCCTTGATGGAGATGATGGAGTTATCGAGGACTGGTGACTGGTGGCAGCGAATACAAGAATTGTGGCTAGACTACTATCGTAGCTCTTCTACTAGTAAAAGGCATAAAAATTTAGTGCTCTGACCCGGTTGTTGCCAGGTTCTCAGCGAAGTGCGAAGAATGTCATGATGCCATGATGCCCAATGCTTCCCCTGGGTGAGCACCGAAACCTGCACTTTAAATACCTCTCTGCGGTGGATACGGACGACTGTGGTATGACCTTTGACATATTTTGGGTTGATTGATGACCTCGACATTAAGATTGCGCACCTTTGCTACTACTTTACATCCAGGCACGGCGGCCACGGCCGCCGGAGCCGGAGCATTCGATGTTGGAAGGTGGTGAGATGGTCGATTGCAGTATTGCAGTTCATGGTTCGCTCAAAGCCAGGTCAGAAAGGCAGGGTTGACCACATGATGCATACCATAAGTCTCTTGATCAACAGTAAAGACGCTTGGAAAGCGAGAAAGACAAGCGAGAAGAGAGCACCAAGCATCGAATGAATCCAGTCGGTGGTGGATCAAAGCTTGGATCATTATTTATTCTTATTAAGTCGAGTCCAGCTTCCAAACTACTGTAGCTGTTACCGGTACCAGTTTCTCAGCCAAACAAATGCCAAATGCCTCATGTAAACGAAACTTAGAGTGCTGAAACGAATTCCGGTACCGCTTTTAAGCTTGATGACTATGACCTTCTGAAGAGACATACTTTCTAGAAAAGGGGACCCAGCACGTTCATGACACATGCAGGGTTACTCGGCATTTTGTCTGTTTGGGAAAGTGTTTTGGCCATTAAGTGTAAATGTCTACACACAGTTAGTAGACATAAGTAGACAAAGTAGACATTGTGCGACATTAGGAGACATTAGGAGACAAAGTGATATATTGGTAGACATTGGTAGACAAAGTGAGACATTATGAGACATTGTGAGACATTGGTAGACAAAGTGAGACATTTTTGTACTGTTTTACTCTACTGTGTAGACAAAGTGAGACATTGGTAGACATTAGGAGACATTGTGAGACATTGTGAGACATTAGTAGACATTGTGAGACATTGTGAGACATTGTGAGACATCCGTAGACATTGTGAGACATAAGCCACTTTTACAAAGGAGCATAGAACATTTAGGCAACTCTGTAATCAGATACAATAGCCTTAAATAGACAAAATGCCGAGTAAGCCAGGCACGCAAGGTGGCATGAGCATCTCATGAGCTGAGGCCCGAGGATACCGTACCAACTACTAGTAGTATGGCATGACAAAACGAAGCACAAAGGACGGGAGGTTGAAGTCTCTCTCTCTTTCTCATTTCCATCACATTGCTGCGTCTGCTTCTTTCAGTTGGTTCATTCTCTCAATGGCATTGAGTGTTGTTTTGCTGTCGTCGAGGGTTTAGTACGTAGATTTGAACTGTGAGCCAGGATGCCTATTTGTGGCGACGGATCATGCGTGTTCTTCAATGCAAGTTCGAAGGGTGCCAATGACAGCCATGTAGTAGCAATGCACTCATTGTCACCACTCCAAACAAGCCGCAATTCAGAATGGCATGCCCGTGTTTGTGATCCATACCGTACGAACGTACTCGAAATATCCCTGGGATTTTGGGGTATGGACGATTTTCAGGCAGGACGGTTGGCGGCCGAGAAACTTTTGGATCTGATCATGGCGGCTGGCGCTGTCATGTCAGTCCACAGCGGATGCTGCTCCTATCGTATCTCCGGATCCACTCGTAAATGAACGCTACAGAAACCAGAAGCAACGGGAGTACAAGGCATCACACAATTTCTAGCGGGGCACTTACTTGGGAGACAATGGGACATTGCCGCTCTTGGAGCTTGAGGAACTTGTGGTGAAACAGGAAGAATCTTACGACAGGGTTCATCCAGGAGTTCATGGAAGATTGTCCTTACAGTGCAGTCATTGTCACGAGGGGACGCGAAAGCCTTGTTGAATCCGTGATCCAGGCCTGCCAATTCCATTCCTGTTCTTTCTTCCAGCCGCTCATTCTCGCATCCTTCGACACCTACGAGGCTACGGTATTTACAGAGCATTTCCCCAAAAGACATGGCATTTTCCATCAGTCTCAATCAGTATGGTACCTACCTCCAAGCCAATCTAGTAGGCACAATGGCGGTCCTCTCTACGCGTCCACAGGACAATCACTGGGACTCATTGGTCCACACACACACCCGATTTGGATAGCAAACGGGAGGCAGATTCATTGATTATGTGTTCACAATGCAAATGAAATGACGCCGCTGGGATGCGAAGAATTACAGGGTTATCAATCTTCCATCTTGCCCCATCTCAACCAGGGAGAGAATCTACTACAGAAGCAGCATCGACGTGCCACTATGCACCTTTGTTGTCGCTAACGCCGACAAGCAATGATACTCAACTATTCCGCAGATGTTTGCCCGGCGGCAACGTTGTTGGCCGCAGCTAGTCCTTGCTTCAGCAGTTGCTTTGCTCCCGACCAGTTTACCCGTATTTCGTTCCCCGCGCCATCAATTTCCTGTCCCATGGCGTAACCCGCTTGATATTCGTCCATGGTGCGTGTGTATTGGTTTTGCAAAATGCGGTTCGGCTAGCTTCAGCAATCACGGGCAATACACCAAAAGACGGGAATATTCAAATCTTGGCAGAATCGGACGGCTTCTGCCTGTACTTTATGATTTGTTTGATCTGTGTAAAGACTCCATCGACGCGATTCGACTCGGTCCTGACAATACGCCTTGATCTTTCCGCTACGGTAGTTGCGTTCCTTCTTGTTGCCCACGGCCTGCACTCGATCCATCAGGAGTGTGCTTCGATTCCCAAGTAAGTAAGTCATCAGCTGTCTGTTGTGCCGCCGCAGCCCGATCCTCACGAAAAATCCCCGATTTTGTTTTCGATCGG